CCATAGCGCCACTTCCAGCTTTTTTCTTTTTGCTTATGTGGTGCTGAGGAATCGAACCCAGGGCCTCATGCATGCAAGGCAAGCGCTCTACCGCTGAACCACCTTCCCAGCGCAGAACTCAGTTTTTTATTCATCTCTTGTCATATCCTTTTACTTCTCCCCTGTCCTGATGACTTTCTTTTGTACTTCCCTTGATGAAAAACTGCATGTCCTGTCTTCTATCCTACCAAAACTAGACCAACAGAAAATTCCAGGGATTCTGTGGAGGCAGCTGGGGACTTCCCCTGCCCATCCCAAAGATGCCCTTTCTTCCTTATCTCATTTCTCTAGTGCGGCCACATCAATTGCTACAGAATGCACCTGGAATGCTAGGGTAGTGGTTAAGGCCATAGACTGCTGCTGTGAATCCTGACTCTGCCACTTCACTGTTGTCCTTCAGTAGAAAGAGGAAGGTCTGTGGAGGACATTTTAGGTTGGAGTTTCTAAATGAACCTACACGCACATACAAATACACGCGTGCATGTGTACATCCATATACACAAGCACATTCACACACTCATGTTCACAGTCATTCATACTGAGCACATCCCACGTGCACATACCTGCATGCATGCTTGTATGCATGTCTACCCACTTGTACAGATTTTTGCACACAAAAACAGGTATTACTTTCTACCTCACCCTCCATTCCTGTTTTGATCCTAGCCTTTATCTCAGTATGCTAGGTGTTGCTATTTCCTTTTCATATCTTTCATTGATTTTTATATTTAATCATGACCTCTAGGAAGCTCCATGAGACTTGCACAGGTATTACTAACCCCTGCTTTGTCTTTTTCGTTCAGTTTGGCTGGTTTACTGTTTTACTCCAGAATCTGCTACTGCCAGGGTCTTGTCTGGGAGCTGTGCCTTGTGAGTGGGGAGCTGGAGGCAGAGATCTCTGGGTGGATCTCTCTTCACTCTATTCCCTTAACTACTTTGTCCTAGGTTGTGAATTTCCCACCAGCACTTTATGAGTATGTGACTGGAGAACTTGGGTTGGCCTTGGTGCTGGTCTTGAACAAGGTGGATCTGGCCCCACCAGCTCTCGTGGTTGCCTGGAAGCATTATTTCCACCAACACTATCCCCAGCTCCACATCGTCCTTTTCACTTCTTTCCCTCGGGACCCTCGAACTCCGCAAGAGCCTAGTAGTGGTGAGTGGACAAGGAGGAATATATCATGGAAGAAATGGGTGGCAGGGGACAAAGGGAAGAGCAGAGAAGCTTACTGGCCAGGGGTAACTTGATCTTGGGCCCAAAGGTGGTGGGAGAGATGGGCTGTAGAAGCCCATTTGCTAATCCTCCTGGTGCCATCTCATCTCAGTCTTGAAGAAGAGTCGGAGGCGGGGAAGAGGATGGACTCGAGCCTTGGGGCCAGAGCAATTGCTGAGAGCCTGTGAAGCCATCACTGTGGGAAAAGGTATGTGCTTGTTGGAGTGGGGAGGGGGGGAGGTGGGAGCTCACAGGCGAGACCCGAGGCTTGGAGTCATTTTGCTCATCTTTCTGGAAGCCAGTCTCTATTATAGATATGCAGAGGGATGAAATAAGGAGCAGACAGGCACAAGGTAAGCAGGAGCCACATTGGCTTTGTTACCTTACATCTTCCATGAACTCTTTAGAAACTCAGACCAAAATGCACATGATTCCAGAGTGGGGTCAAATGAAGGCTGGGATTCTCTGGCTTGAAGTTGTACAGGTTGGCACTCTATGATTCCAGAGGATGCTAGTGACGTCAGCTGTGCAGGGCACAGTTTGTCCCACCGTACGCAGTGACTTTAGTGGGACCACTTTTATTTCTTTCTCTGAGCAGTGGACTTGAGCAGCTGGCGGGAGAAGATTGCTCGGGATGTGGCTGGGGCCACCTGGGGCAATGGCTCTGGGGAGGAGGAGGAAGAAGAAGATGGGCCTGCAGTCCTGGTGGAACAGCAGACTGACTCAGCAATGGAGCCCACTGGCCCAACTCGGGAACGCTACAAGGATGGTGTGGTGACCATCGGCTGTGTGGGTAAGGACAGGATAACCTGTGTCCAGTGGCCTACAGGAAGCACTGTGTTTGAGTACAGAGAAGGCCTTCAGATCTCTTGAGAGTAGCGTCTACTAGTAGTCCTCCCAAGGCTGAAAAGGTGATATGTTGGAGTTAAATTCCACCTTTTCTCAGCTGGATGATTGTGAACAAGTCCTTTAACTACTGAGTCCTAGTTATTTTGATTATAAAAATGAAAAGGTGGGGCTGAAGGTGTAACTCAAGTGATA